TTTAATAGTAAATTTAATAAGTAAAAAAAACTTAGTAGTATATAAAAAAAAAAAAAAAAAACAACCACTAACTTTCTTACCCTTGAAAACTGTTCTTCCAGCTGCCTATACATATCTATAAAACGTTTTAACTTTTTTCAGCACGGGTTTGGTCCCTACCCCGTAACCATTTTATTTTTTTTAGTTTTCATGCTTCTAACTTTTAAATTAGTCAGCATATGTTAATGAAATCTGGCAGATTATCAGTAAACATTACAATGCTTTCATACGCAAAATATCAATTTTTTCTTTTAAGATTAAAAATACTTTTGTGCATCAGAAAATGTTCAAATTTCTCATACAAAATCTTTATAATGTCCAGATAATTATAAAACGTTTCTTATGAAAGAACTTTATATTTTATCTGTTATTTTCCAGTAATGAATCTCTGTATGGGTTTGGTAAATTTGACTGATCTCGTAACCACATAAAAAAAAAAATCGATGTTTATCTGCATTTTTTTAATATTTACTTATAATTAATAAATTGAGTTAGGTAAAATACTAAAATTTGAATTACAATCTACAGTTTGATACCAAACTTATTGACGTAAATTCATGAAACAGTAGTTCAGTAAAATTTGGAATGCGAGTTAACAAACGTGATGACATGGCCTTTCATCCGTGACCCGTCTGGATAGGGTTAATAAAAAGTATATATTTCTTATCACCACCAACAGGTGTCCATCTTAGCAGACAGAATTAGATAAATCCCTTTTTCACAATTTTAATGGAAAATTTAAACAAACCTAAATGTTTTTTAGTTATGTAATTCTCTCCGATAGTAAGAAATTTAACCAAATACTTTTCAACAAGTTTGTAACGAACCAAGAAAATAGTTTATTGTGGCTTGTTACTGTGAAATTTCAAAATTTCCTGATGCATAAAAAGTATTTTTAATCTTAAACCGAATATTACACTGCATGATAGATAGGCAACATGTGAAAAGAAGAAGAAGAAGAAAAAAAAAGAGACGAGAAAAACATTGTTTTTACGAACCTTGAGACTTAATTGAAAAATTTTATATTTTAAATAATGGCGGTCAGTGGAACTCTGGAGCCAGACAAAGTGATGGTGTTAGTCCGGGTCAAGGTACATATATAATAAAATCTAGTGATATGCTACTAGTACTTTCTATGATTGCAGAGAGAGAGAAACATCCTTTAATTCTTTCAGCACGGGCTCGATCCCTGGGACCAACCTCGTAACTATTTTGTGCTTGTTATAGCTTTCGTGCTAAATTAGTAAGTGAATGTTAACAAAATTTGGCAGATTATCAGTAAACATTACAATGCTTTGATACGCCCATTACCATTCCAACTGGAAGCACCCGACCCAGCAGGAGGATGAGGAGTGCCCCATGCTGAAGTGCCATTGTTCAAAGAGCTTTCTCCACCACCCAACAGGCCTAACCTTGGTGGAGGCCCTACCCATCCCGATTTCTTCTTTTCAAATACTGATTTATTTATAGGCATATCTGAACCTCCAACTGCACCAATAAGACCTTCGTAACTTTCATTTGAAGATTCACTTCCCCTTCCTGACTCATGTAGATTTGAGATTTGCTTTGATTTGTCACTACTGTTATAAATGCCCTCTCCAGTGTTTCTAAAGTTCATTTCTACATGACTATTTGGAGCCACTGAGACACTCGGGGTCATATGAGTACTGTTAGGAGGAATATGCAACCCATTAAGCGAGTTAGAAATATTTCTTATCTCCTCTTGACTTTTGCGAAAACTTCGATCTTCATCACATCCGAGTGATAAGCCAAGATTATATGAACCACGACTGAAAGACATCAACCGATTCATTTCAGAATTATCTGATGAAACACCACAATGATCTGAAGCACTGATGTCCAGCTCGACCTTAGTTGTAGCCAACTCTTTCACTGGATAACTCATGGACGAAGTTAGTGAGCGATTAGTGATATCTGCACTGTCTGTTTTGTGCAAATCTGGTTGCATATCCTGATATGGAATCTGTTGTATTTGGCCAGAAAAAACTATTGGATGATAATCTGAAATTTTTTCTGAGGATTTGGCCCCTATGGGGTTCAATTTTGTATCATACTGTTCATAATTATCATTCTTGGCTGCACCTAACTCGGATGTGGGATAATCTTCTACATACTGTGCATTGTGACTACTGTTGCCAATGTCGACTTCGGTGCAACCGACCTTCATGGAAGAGCCGGAAAGATGACTGTCTGGCAAAGAAGATGAGGTGGGATCCTTTATCCCGTGATGAGCGTTGCAGTTAGGAAGGCTTCCCTCTGGAGAAGCTAAGTTTGTAAATGTACCCTGAACACCAGAGTAACTTGAGCTTGATATCACAGATCTAGAGGTAGAGGAAGGGTGTATCACCTTCTCTACAGAATGTTCAATTTGACTCTCTCCCGAAGAGAGCCACGAGGCTGTATTACAGTCTTCGAAAGTTATTTTATCCCACCTTCCTCCACTTTCTCCCCACATACTGAACTCGCCATCTGTAATTTCAAAATAATCAGTGAAAACAAAATAATATTTCAAATCAGTGGACAGAATTATCTCATTCTATAGTGCCTAAACCTTAATCATTAGTGGTCACTAAATTTGAACTAGAACATAACATAATGGTTTAAGTCAGATTCATGCCCGACTACATAATTCTACAAATACCCAATCTAGCACAGAAAAATTTTAAATTCTGGAATATAAGATCCTATCAAGCCTCAAAAAGTTATTAATACATAGATACCATTAGAATCAATACAATGTAAGAGTAAAACTTTACAATAATTAATAAACTACGGGCAGCTGTTTGTGCTAGTATTCATGTCTCGTTGAAAAAATTTATAGAAAAAATCAACATTTTCTAAAAAAAAAAAGGATTTTTTTTTGGAAAAAATACTGCATAAACTGCAATATTTCTATATATTGAAAGTGGTACCCTTTATTGAAAAAATTTGTTTTTAAAGGACTCCATCTTAAGTACTATATTTACAAATTACATCAACAAAGATATAAACAAACCTTCACTTACGATCCTAGCGAATATTGTGTTGTTGTTGTGAGGAGATTACTTTTATTTAAAATTGTGTTTTGTGATAAAGAAATGGTTGTTGCACATACCACAATTAGTTTTCTAATTCTCTGAATCTTGAATACCCAAAGTGTAAAATCTGTTATGTATTTTTGTTTGTGGTGCCACTCAATAGATGGCACCACAATGTATTCATTATTTCTATCACGCTACATCCATTATAGCAAGATAGCTTCCTAGGGGGGAACCAAAAATTCAAATTTAAACAATATGGTAATATCAGACATGAAGTAAACTGCTTATGTAAACCAGTAAAAGCCCAGGAATCATCTGTGGTTACAGGAAGATTGTTCAGCATGATTACTGCTTTGACATACATCTTTTATAGATCTTAGGCATAACTTTTTTTTTCATTAGGTACAGTGAAACCTCATTAATCCAAACACATTTGTAATAAGCTAATTCATCCAGATTAGCGAGTCATACAAATAATCAAATCAGTCACTTTAAGTACAACTGATACTAACAATATGCATTACCGATTGAGAAGTGTAACAAAGCAATTTCCCAAAGGATTTAATCAGTGTTTTTGAACTGAATTTTTTCTTTTGAAGCTTCTCAACAGCTTTAAGCAAATAACACGTTTCATCATATCTTCACATTTTCTTTCGCACCACGCGAGGATGTCTTTCAGGCCGGATTGCGCTTTATTCAAACAGTTCTCATGAACCATGAATCTGGCAAAAACTATTCTTCTGCACACAGATTAACAAATCAAATAAGACTGGGACTCTACATTATTTACAGATTGATTTGTTTCCTTACTGAAGTTATGTGTTTTGAAAAGAAGAATTCACAAAGAAATATAATTAATAAAAAAACAATCAGAATCAAAAGTAATATCAAGTCAACAACCATAAACTATTGTTAGAACCACTTATTTTTAACCACATAATGACTTTAATTGGAATTCCCGAACCAATAATTTTTTGCCTCAGACTACCTGCTTTCAAGTTGATCTTCATTTGTTGTAGTAGTTTAAGAATCCTAACGTCACATGAGAGAAGTGGTACTAGTAGTATTAAAATCACCGAGAGAAAGAAGGAGAACATGAAGAAAAAGATACGAATCATTATATTCCCAAGGGACGACTGTTTCTCAGCAAATGTAAAACTAAGCTTTCGGTTGAGCATAAAATGCTTTTAAAAAAATCTTGTAAACACTTTACTTACTGGGAAGACTCCAAGGAGCTGAGCATAAAAGTTAATATTTTTCTTTATGAAAAATCCTGAATATTGATTGTAAATTAATTCCAATTATAAAATTTGATGTCCAGATGTGTACACAACACCAAAGTTCACAAAGTGATCTTAATAGGATTAAAACTACACTTCAAACGACCCCCCTTTTTTTAATTCTAGAGGTCACATCAATACACCTACAATAAATTAGAAGCCAACTGTTTCTTACCATCCCGAGTATTTGCTTTCAGAGAATGCTGCATAAATCGTGGCGGTAGGTTCATCACTGAGAATAATGATCGAGAAGACTCTGAGAACTGATCACTGGAAGCTGCCCGCTGTCCCAGTTGTTTTTTTTGCATTATTAGTTTGGAAAAATCCTACAGGTATATTAAAATAAGACAATGATGTAAAATATTAACAATCCTAAAATTAAGATATAGAAAGATACAAATCTTAAACATTTAGTGTTAAAAGCTAACAATAATAAATACAATAAGATAAGAACAGTTTAACATAATTCAGGGCATCTAAAATAACAAGATCTACACATCTTAACTACGCTTCATCAAGTTCACTGAAAATTGTACAAATAGGAATTTAGTCATACAGCTGATTAACCATCTTGGAAACAAATGATATCAAGACATTACATTTGACACTTGTAATGTTGTACAAGATTTTCCTCGAGATTATATTATTATAATTTATTTTTTAGTGCAGACATATGAATAAAACTGTTGATCTCTGTCCTAATTCAGTTTAAATATCTTCTGACATAATGAATGAAACATTTATCTGCTAGCATATTCCGTGAAAATTCCAATATTCCTTGATTTTTTGTATTCAACAGGAAAGTCAATATAACCAATACGCAATTTGTTTCTGAATATAAAAATGAAGAAATATTGTGAATTTACTGGTACTGAATTTTCAGGGAATGTATTCATAATTTCAGTTATTAATATTAACTACTGTTTGTTGCCTTATTTCTCAATGCATATTCTAAAGACTTTTTATCTTCTGTAGAAAAAATGGTTTCTTTCCTTCTCTACAGCCATCATCCAGTCTTTGTCAGCCTTACAAAGAAAAAACTTTATGGTGCCAAAACTGTCCATTTGAAATTTTAAATCATCACCTCACTTGTGTTTACTAATTAACCAGAGTAAATTAAAATAACTAATTTTAATAAATGAGTAATATTTGTCATACTTCTATATTATGTTAATTTATGATATAATATCTGACAACTAATTCCAAGTCACTTTTTAAATCGGTGTAAATAACTATCATTAAACTCGGCAGAATTGCCCATCAATGATTTTACTAATTTTAACTTGGAAATAATTTTTAATAAGAAAGAATTAAATTCTGAAGTTTAAAATCATTCAAGCATACTTACATTGTGAAACATGAAATTATATAATGATTCCAAAACATGACATGGAAACCTATCCTAAAACTTTAAACATGAAATTAAATAACTGTCAAATGATTCCAAAACATGACAGAAAACCTATCCTAAAACCATTTCTTCTGTTCAGTGCAAGTTACAATTTTACATGTTAATTCTACAACTAGTCCAATTTCCAGTGACGAAATGGGAAATGAGTACCTCAAACTTTAGGCATTATACTTTCTTTTCTTTTAGTAAAGTTGAAGTCACCTTGTGAAAAAATTCTATTTTGAAATATTTGCTTCTCAATTTACTTCAAATCCATGTTAGGCAGATGCTGTAAAGTTTACGAGTGACTTCTGTTTAAAGCTAAATTTACAGCTCATTTTGGAATAGTCTATTTTCAGCACAGAATTAAAGTTGTGACTATTTTGTGAAATAACTTGGAACACTGAACAGTTGAAGTCTCAAAATTGCATAATACACTGAAAAAAAAGAGCTTGTTATACTACTCAAAACTAGCAAAACTTTTAAACCCTGAACATTCACATAGCCATTAACAGTCCTCTCTTACATTTGGTACTTTTTGTCCTTGTAGTCTATCACAAAGATCTTTTATACGTTCCTGAGGTTTACTGGTTACACTGTAAAATAAAGAAAAAAATAACATAGCAAGAAGGTCCCCAATGAGCTTTATTTTCTTAATATATTAGTTATCTGCTGAAAAATCACATCATCACCACAAACATTTAAAGTTGTGCAGTAACAGCATATAACATATGTTTTCTACATTGTGCTGGTTTACCTATTATTACTTTGTGCCCCCCCCCCCACGAGGTTCTCCTTCTTGGTTAGTACATGATTTTGAAGACAGATGGTGCCACATGCAAGTCAGACTACTACATGGTAAATTCAGTAAAAATGGGACATTTCCACCTCAACACCTTATAGGAAATAGTATGGATGCTATAACAACTAATCAAACAAAGAAAAATACATGTAAAAGATCTAAGCTTTATTGGAAACTAAATAATAGGATGAAAAAAAAACTTGAAAGGTAATTTTAATCAACAGTTTCCTCTATCCTCCTTGTTAAATTCTGGGCATTAATACACACACACTTCTGACCATAATTTCATAATTGCTAATTCAAGTTACACTCTTACACTAAAAAATTATCTGGTTTTAAATAAGCTGTTACACATTTCCCTCAAAATAATTTATGAAACTAACTTCTTCAAAGCTTGTACCGAAACTCAGTATCATGCACACAATTTTTACAGTTCACACTTTTTAATTTACACGTGTATTATCGTTTGGCCAGATAGAACGGGATGATTTAAAAAACACAACAGATTATCTATGAGCAATGTTTACTTCAAATAATGTCATGCAAACTAATAAATTAATCAAAATTACAACTCAATTGAAATTAGTGCCACTACTTTAAACTTTTCCAAAAAAAAACTGATTAAGTGAAATTCTGATTATATCATTTGGCACAAAAAATAACTAGCCGATAAACATCCGATTCTGTCCGATTCTTCCAACAACAGGTTAATCGAAATTATGATTAAATTTATCGTCGTGAAAATAATGAACTAATCAAAATGAGGGTTTCCAATTATCACAAACTTAGATTATTCCAACTATCCATGTAATTGAAATATTGCTGTCGTGTTTGTTTGATGTTAAGCACAAAGCCACATAATGGGCTAATTTTGAAATGATGAAAAGAGGGAAAGGCAACTGTCTGACAGCTTCTACTGTCAATTTTTTCTTGTTTTTCCTCTTCTCCTTGAATTTCTAGCTAAGAGGGAAGGAAAATGTCTACCAGTTTTCACCAACTTTTCTTCTCCTGGAAATGCTTTACCATTACCACCCATTTTTCTTCTTTTATTACCGACAAGCAGGAATTTAACTCTGGTGGCACTCACCACCACCACCACCCTTTTTTTTTTAAAGTTGTTGTTCTTGAACTGTTGAGTAGTAGCACCAGCTTGTGTATACCATGGTTTGAGGAACTAGAAAATGGGGCCCTTGTTTAATCAATTAGCAAATGCCACTAATTGCCAGCTCTATCCAGAAAATTTTATATCATGCGATAGCATCCAACTCAACATCTGCAATTTTCTTCAAAGTTTTAACTGCACAGAATGCAAGTAAGGCTACAGTATAGGATAAATGATCTTTTAGTCTGTTAGTAAGTTATAAAAAACCTGAGGTAGCAAGTTAGTATTTGACTGAGACTTTCAGATCAATTTTAGGACATCAAGTTTATTCTGATTAAGATAAACTGTACGTCCTGAAGATAGAATACTAGCAAGTGAGTAAGAATTTGTCATGAATGTAGGCCTATCAATGAACATTAATCAGTGATGCTAACCTGTAACAGAATCAAAGTTCAAAGCAAGATTGAAAATAATGAAACTGTTGAATGATCTTTAAGAAGATAAATTTCAAGAGTCAAAGGATTGATGGAAGACAAGATATAAAATGAAGATACTGATGTAAAAACTAGAGCATGTGTGCAGAAGGATTATAACAAGAAGATCAAAGAAGTACAGAGAGATGATAAAAACAGTACTGAACAAGCCACAGGAAATGCACAGATGGAAATCAATGCCAGGGTAGGACATCTAGAACTTGAATGGCAAAATGAAAAGACAGAATTCCAGAATAGTTCACGAATTCCAACCTAAAACACCATTAACAATCCTATGTAGAATAGGAAAACCCATGTGCCAACACCTGTTAGGACAACTCTTGTTACATATAACTGCAGAATGTTTTTGGATTACATCAATTTACAGAAGTCAGTTGGCCAGTTTAGCAGCAGCACCCAATCAAGTACCAATAGATTATGATGGAAAGGAACCATCATGGCATAGTTGGAAATACCTTCCAAAGGTGTATGAAAGGAATAGTTAGCGAACATCTTCCTGAGCATTTAAATGTCCAGCTTTAACAACATTAAGCAACCTTCCAAAAGAGAGTCATAACAACTAACAAGCATTAATGACCGTCTTATCACACTGGATTAGTGTCACATCAAATATATCATTCTAAAGAAAAGTTTAGGATCAAAGAAAGGATGACAAAATAGCCATACTTGCTGAAGATGTGGAAGACTTAACCCAGTTATCTTATCTAGATGACTCTGTATAAAATCATGTATTTAGGCTAAAGTAAGTAAAGTGTACATACATCTTTATACGAAGCTGGTTAGTTGGTGATGGGACTTCAACCAATTAAACAAGAATTATATGATTTTCAGATTAAATGGTGCAAAAATATTCACCCTCTCTCCCACACAGTTCTAGAAGGGAAGAATTAAACTAAAAGATTGAATGTGATGCAGCTACAACTCAAAGGATCAAATCTAAGACTGTGATTTATCAACCACTGATGATAAACTGAGGAAAATATATCCTGAAAATGAGAATATAAGACACGGAGTGCATTATTTAAAGATACCAGTCCATGAGTCAAAAATATATCCTGAGAATGAGATTATGACATGTGCCTCAACTGAAACAAGGAGCACATTATTTAAAGATACCAGTCCACGAGTCAAAAGATTCATTGGTGGGGAACCTCGCAACATGTTTATTAGCATTAGTTCTATAACTGCCACTGTTTAACTTGAAAATAATAAGTTAGAAAATTGCACCGAGAGATGAGGCAAAAAAAGATGGGTTGATGCACAGAGCAAGTGGTCATAAAAATCCAACAAGAAAAACAACTGGAAATCACAACCACCATCCGAAGCTTCTCTATTCAACATGATGTGTGGTTTATTGAAAAATGAGCAAGAACGTCACTTGGAAACAGACTTCATGTGGAAACACAGACGTGTGTTTGTAGGTGCTTCAAACATTTCCACAGTTTTTGACCAGGAAATCCACGACACGACATTTTCACCATCAGCGACCAAGTTTACGTTAAGAACAAGGCTGGAAACAAGATTATGAAGACAATCAAACTAACGTACAACAGAACAGAATCCAGAAATACAAACAGTCCAACCCAAAGGATATCAACCACATCGTCTTTGGTGATACAGTAATGGGAAAATGGACAGTTGGCAAACTTCAGAAAAGACTTCACCAGAAGAGCTTAAGGTTCTTGTCATGATCACTTGTAAAGTATAACCATTTGGTAACAAAATAAGGAACAAGACACATAAAAAACAACCACGCTAAAGATCTGGTGAACGGACAGTTTACAGATATTAAATGAGCAAAGAATGAAGATTTTGTTAACCAAGATTTTCATTGTACTATGTTTAAAACAATTAATGATTGCAATGAATACACGAGAATTATTATTTATTAATAATTTTTATTTATCATGAAGCATAATGTAGTTGTTTTCTTTGTGTAATAAGATTGCTAAGTGACTTAATACTCCGAGGAGGAGGCAGTGTGTGTGTGTGTTGAAGGCAATATTTAATTCAACGTTTGTATTGTTGTTTGGCTAGAGGGAAAAAAATCAATATAACATGATCTCAGGGATATATCTCTGGAATTTTCTCTTAAACATTTATAAACCAATTGAGAGGTATAAAGTGCAAGTTAGACTAGAGTAAATAATTACTCTGAATTGTGATTATTTTACCTTGTTAGTTCATTTTTGGAATATTACATCTGTGTTCTCTAGAGTTAATATGAAATACACTGTACGTTTTAAAAAAATACAAAAAAATCAGAAAATTAACAAATCAAATTGCTGTATTAACATTTACTGTGAACTTAGGCCTATTACTATTAGTGAATATTAGTTAAGCTAACTTATAGAACTGGAATAAAAATGTGTTATTGTTAAGTGGACTGTATTTTACATTCTCCTGGTTAAAGCTCAGACTCAACACCACAACATACTGTTACAGTATCAACGTTTTTGAGAACATTTTTTTTTCACTATGAAGTATACAAGACAGGTTATGGCTTATGTGAATAAAGTTTAAGCAATTTAATCGACGCGAAAGGCATGTAAGGATAAAAATTAAAATATCCAAAGCAATGAGAAAACAACAAAACTGATCAAATTACAATACACTAGTTAAATCTAAAATATTAATCAACAAAATATTCAGAAAAAAAAGTAGGTTTATTTTGAAAAACAAATAAGTTTAAAATAGCTAACGGTTGATATTTGTATTTACTATAATTAATAGTTCCATTAACTTTTCTGTAGTTTACTAACTTAGCTAGTGGTTGAAACTTGCAAGTTATCGATTTTTTGCCAAACACGATTTAATTTTGTTAAAGTTTGTTTGCGGAGAAGAAAAAGTTAAAGTGTTGGTTTTCAACATTTTCTGATAAATTTCAGACTTTAAGTCTAATTAGTACTTCTACCTCTAACATTAATACGATTATCTTTAAAACAACAAACATGGAGGCTTACACGTACAACAGCTACGCAGATATAACCCAACCAGTCATACCTTCGAGACAAACCATAACAGCGTTCACCCCTGTCTACGCGCACCATGGACTGGGCTGCAACCAAAACAGCCGATCAAGATGGGAGCTAGTTACTGTTAAAAGCTACGTACCTTTACAACACGATAAAACAAGAAAGCAGCTGTGGCTCGACAAGAGTTTGGGGGAAAACGTTTGAAAAAATCTCCAAATCGCTC